TCACACAGACACACACACACACACACACACACACACACACACACACACACACACACACACACACACACACACACACACACACACACACTCAGACGCAGAGAGGTGAAACTAAATGTGACCAAAGACAAATCTTTCAAATATAACTTTAACTGGAGCTTAATGACTGGTTGAAATGTTACATCAAGTTAAAATAGGGAATGGATTTATTCAGATTGTGGAATGATGAGATATTAAATGAATATTGTTGAATTGACAAGCACATGAATGTCCAAAGAACAACACCTTATCATTCGGAGTGTTAACCTAGGGGTTTTGAAATCCTCACTGAAGACTCACTTCTTCTCTCTGGCCGTCAGAGCGGAGTACGACTCCTGACATTTCCCTGTGTTTTGTTTTCATATTTGCTGTTGTAAATTATTGTCTTCTGTAGCTATTGTAGTAAAGTGTTTTTATTACATGTACAGCACTTTGGCTCGACCAAAAATCGTTTTTAAATGTGCTCTATAAATAAAACCTCATTTGATTTGATTTGATAATGTTTGTTTTTGATTTTGGAAATGTTTTACTTCCTTGAATCCCAAATAATTGATCAAGTAAAAACACAATGTGGTTACATATTTTAATGGAAACAACATCTCTAAAAAGGCAAAACTGGTTTAACATGAATACAAAACAAATTTGCAGGAAAAAGGCACAAAGTGACATAAATATGAAAAGAGAAATGTTTCTGAGTTTGTATTTTCAATTTCATAACAATGTTTTAAAAGCATTTACAAAAAAGCCCTAGAATAGTTTGCAAGATCTAGAACTCTTTGTTGCACATTTTAAAAGCACATTTTTTTTTTTAATATATTTTTTTTCGTTATAGTTCTCTGACCTTTTTTAAAGTGGAAGATTTACTCACAAGGAGGTTGTGTGGTTGAGTTTGGAGAATTGGACAAGTTTTTTTTAATTATTTAAAGTTTTTGATATCGTACCTTGTGCTCAAATTGTTTGTGTGTGTGCGCGTGTGTGTGTGTGTGTGTGTGTGTGTGTCTGAAGTTGATTAAGGCAGGGGTCCCCAGGGCTCTGCCGCCCTCCCATCCATCAGCTTGATAAGTCCCTGAACAGGCAACATATTGCCTGGGACGCAAAGACATGGCCGGGGATATCAATTTCAACCGTCTGTGTGTGCTGTCACACACGCTCACATAACTACATGTCAGATGCACATAGTCAACCACACAGGGTGTAACACATACTATAACTGACTGTTTTCATCACACACACACCTCAACCTGAAAACATCTGACGGGGGACAGAGGTGAAGGGGGAAGGGGAGAGGAGGTGTGTGCGAGCAGGGGAGACCGTGACTCAAGCTGACTGAGGAAGTGTTAAAGAGTTTATCAGGGTTTGTTGTCATTATATCCACCTTGTTAACTTCTTTGGTGGCATTTCATAGTGTCAAGTTGCTTTCTGCTCAAAGAGAGCTCATGTTACACGTAAAAATGTAAAGGTTGTTGAAGTAGCAGCAGTATAAATGCATCTATTTTGTTCATTTTTTCCTAATTTACAGTTATCTTTTTTGACCTTTTTATTTACTATCATCTTAATGTTTGTCTAATGTATAATGCAGTTTGTCTAGCCTTCAATTCAGTAAGAGTGAATCTTGTTCTTTACAACTGAAATATGTCAGCCATTGACCAAAAATGTAATAAATTCAATCTTACCATTCCCTCGGGAATTGTGCGTTTATTTATAGGCCTCCAAACTGTAACCCAACCAGACCCAGACTGGCCCTGTTTGTCCCATTAGCCATGAACACAGTGGCCAGGCCTCCGTGTGTGTGTGTGGTGTGGGATTTGTGTATGTGTGGGTGGTGTTTGTGTGTGTGTGTACATGTGGATCAATAACCATCCTAGAGGTGTGGATAGTGAGGGGCAAGGTGAGGGTCAGGGTTAGCCGCCAGTGTTAGGGAAATAAGTGGATAAACAGATGAGAAAGAAGCAAGAGAGAGATTGAAGTAAACAAATTACAGGAGAGGGGTTGAGAAATAAGAAACAAGGAGATATTGAGTCAAAGTGAAATTGTGTATTGTCATATGAATTATTGGATGCAAAAACATTTTTGACAATTTGCTATTCTTTTTATATCTTGTAAAGCATAAAACGTTTGGGTAAAATGTTCCCATTTTATATTATATATATATATTCCACATATATATCTTCCTTTATTTCATTGTTACATATAAACAAGAGTTAGGCAATGTTGAAAGAAAAGTACTAAACATTTTTAAGAAAAAAGACTTCAAAAATGTTTGCAAAAAAATAAATAGGAATTTTTAAATGTATACAAAATAGAAGAATATAATCATTATGTATTTAAGTATTATAAATAACAATGTATTGATCATATTGATTTTGGAAAAGAAAACCCCTAAGATATAGCTTTCCATCTCTTCACAGAAAGGTTCATATGACTTTGAGATATACTGACACAATGTAAAATTAAATTACCATTCCTTTTTACAGTCATGCTTTTTTCCAGCAGTTACTCATGTTGGCTTCACAGCTGACAAACTTCTTATTCCAGTGATAGCTTCATCTGTCCACACACACACACACACACACACACACACACACACACACACACACACACACACACACACACACACACACACACACACACACACACACACACACACACACTCTGCTCCCCCACACACAAACACACAGACGCTCAGATGCGATTGGATTGGTCTTTAATTGGCGGGGCGATCACACCTTGAGGATGGCGAGAAGATCCTTCAATCAGACGGAGTGATGGAGCGAGGGATGGAGAGGAGGGAGGACGGGAGTAATGGATGGATGGAAAACAAATGAGCGAGCCTAAAAAGAGGACACTGTTGTGTCACACAGGACCGCAGAGCTTGTCCTATGGTTGGACTCACACATTCTCAGGCTTACATTAAGATAATTTGCTGTGCAAATACTGCTTTGCCTTTTAGAGTGTATTGAAAGTGGATGATGTTCAAGTGCAAGCTCCGTTGGTATATACGGAACCTGTGATTGGCCGCCGCTGGCTTAGTTTGACCTCAGCCCAGTGTCATTCTCCATATGCTCTGGTCTAATACAATTATTCCTCTGTGTCTTTGCCGTTATCAAGTGTGAAGTGGAGTCTATGTATGCATCCATGTATCTCTCTATCTCATTATTTACCTTTTAAAGAACTTCCAAAGAATTGCAAGCTAAAGTTTAACACGTAATATGAACAACAATCTTTGAAGACTGAATCCATCTTAAATGTATCCTATCTTCCCCACTTTTCTCTTCTCCTCCTGTGCCAAATGGGTGTCTCCCTGAGAGGGGATCACTAAGGATTTTGGGGGGGATTTCGCTCCGATGTCTTAAATCAGTCTTAATTTTTGCTCTCTGCCATTAAAGAGCTGCCATTAAGCTCCTCTCTTCTCGCCTCATTTCCCTCTTCCTCTTGTTTCACTTTTTCAATTTGTGTGAGAGGGGGAGTTCACTCCTCATAAAATTTCACTTTGGCCAGCCTATCATTTGCATCTGAGCCAATAAATAGCAATTAGCATTAACAATTAAACCAGCCAGTGGAACCGCGGGCAGCTCCCTGAGATGGCCTGATGGATGGGAAGGTGGATAGTAAGGAAGGGAGGGAAGGTTTAGTGTGTGTGCGTGTGTGTGTGTGCGTCTGTGTGTTTGGCTACTTACATGAACTCTCACAGGGCAATCCAGTATATCTTGCACTTTCATTTTCTTCCCAAAGCTAATTTATCTACCGTCTCAGTGGCCTAATCACAACACACACACACACACACACACACACACACACACACGCATGCATGCAGTGTGGGCCTAAATGCCAAGCTGGCTAGCGTTTTGCTGCTCAAATATCGAACATATTTTAGTTGTTAATCACGCTCATTAAATAACATAGTATTATAGTTCAACCTTTTTCAGCATCACACCGTTTTTTAGATTCATTCATAAACATTGGATGAAATGAGGCCACCCTTGGCCTGATAGCCTGATAACGTCCATTGTGTTATGTTGGCCAAAGTTTGCTTTCCTAAGTCGGTGCAATAGGCGCGTTCACACCAAGTACTTTTCCCACAAAGGTTCCTGAGAACTACGATTTAGTTGCGTTCACACCAAAAAGTCCCAGGAACTAAATTAGTTCAAGAGAACCTTTTTTACCCCCTTTTCAGTCCCTGCTAGAGAGCAGGGACTTTCGTGGGAGAAAAAGGTTCCTGTGTCTGATTGGCTGGGCGGAATGCAAACCACGCCCCGTCAAACTCCCAAAAACATTTGTGAAGCCGCCATTTTATTATCCTCGCATTGCATTATTAGCATTAGCATTAGCCCAGCGCAGAAACGCAGAGAGAGTAACTTATGACAACACAAAATAAAACATGGGAGCGGTGGAGATGAGGAGGTGTCGGCGTTCTGGCCGTTTACTCGGAAGGCTTCAGTAGAAGCTGCTGGGAGTCCCAGCAGCTTCTACTGAAGCCAGTCCTCAACTCCGGGGACTTCCGGCCGGGGATTTTGGGCGGCAGTATACGCCGTGAAGTTGTTTGCGGCCTGCCAGTAAACCCAAAGCAGAAGAAGAAGAAGTGACGTCAGCGGCTTCATTTGCCTAATCCACCCCCAGGAACTAATTTCCGGTGTGAACGCGATCTGTACTTAGTTCCTGAGAACTAAAGAGTTCTCAGGAACCTTTGTGGGAAAAGTACTTGGTGTGAACGCGCCTATTGCTTTAGCTTGAAAAGGATGCTTTCACTGAATCAAAGAGCTTTGCTTGAAAGAAAAATGGGTACCACTTTACAATAAGACTACCCTTATAAAGGGTTTACGAATAGTTTGTAATTCATTTATTAATTAGGCTGTGAATACTTTATAAATCATTAATAAGCTTTTATAAGACATGAGATAAACAGCCCACATTGATAAATGTGGGCTGTTTATCTCATGTCTTATAAAAGCTTATTAATGATTTATAAAGTATTCACAGCCTAATTAATAAATGAATTACAAACTATTCGTAAACCCNGACGGTCCACATTAATTTCGGGACGGCTTAGATTGTATTTCGGGACGGTTCCGGGAGGATGGTGAAAAAAGTTAGTCGAGAGCCCTGCTGGCAACCCTACTGAACACCAGGTATGAGTTTCATTTGCTGCTGTTCGCGTGAGACAATAGCATATTTTTCCCTGTACTGCTTAAAGTGATAATGAGACTCTTGCAGAAGATCATTTTGTTCTTGCCCTTGTTACAAAGAAAGCAAAGTTTCTAAAGCATTCAATAATATGTTTAGGACTCAGAGGATTGAGAGTGTCGTATCAACACTTTATGGTGATCACTTGGCAGAAACGTCAAACTTTACTGATCCATCACAATGAGAGCTGAGCTCGTGTTGAGACTTTGTTTCTCTAAAGTTGATCTAGCATAGCCTTAAAGTTGCACTTTTGGACTTGAAAATCTAATTTTAAGCGTGGAGTTTTTTGACCTGAATTTGTACCTTTGAAAAACACAAACCTTATTTTAGCCTCGACCATTTGTTTACAATGTTTCATGAAGCCCAAAATGCGTTTGCTGAAGCTTATTGGCTAAAACCTTTAAATTAGCAGTTGTTTTTTATTAGAATATATAACCATTAACTTTCTTGCATAAAAGTCTCATGTCTGTGCTGTAAATATGAAGTTAAAATGGGAAGGTAACCACTAGCCTGCCCACTTCTTTGCTAACTCTCTGATAAGTGTGGGGATGTCAAGAACATTGACAGTTCTACTTTTGAGGTTAATATTCTCCTTTAATTATTGAAAAAAGGCTGCAGGCTGTAGGTAATCATTAGATGAAATGTGAATATTCCCTGAGGGGGAAATCTCATAAGCAATTATGAAAATGTATAAAAACATAGATGAAAAAGTGTGGATCTGTTCATTCATACATTTTTGACTTTCTTCTTGATCAGACCCTCTGTGAAGCAGGGCGGGTCACACTCCTGCTCCAGATCCATCTTCATGAACTCCTCGATGGTCAGCTGACTGGTGGGCGTGTCCTCAAACTCTATCAGTCTGATGCCGGAAAACAGTAAATGTTAGGTTAAAATGTGCCAATGAAAAGAACGATAAAATGAAGATAACTCCACTAATGTGTTCACTGTAGGATAGTTTGGTACATCAGCATGAAAAAGATTAACATAATGAATCTTGTGAAACAACAGATGTGAGAAAAACCATCATCTTACAGGCAAAAGGTTATTTGTAAATTGTACAACTATCAAACGTTATCCATTACCAAAAAAGTGAACTTTTAAATGAGAAAAGTCAAAGTGAATAACATCAAGAACTTGAACCACCCACCGTTTTCTTAGCGTGGATTCACACACTTTTACAACGCCGACGATTTCTTTGATGGTGCGGCGAAAGTCGTGCATACGAGCGGCTACAAGAAGAGCTGAAAACAGAAAACATACAAATTGATTAAATGTAACTTATTGGTTAGTCCGCACCACACCAGCTCCGTCTTAACACATCACATATAAATCAACATGTGTCATCCTTACACAAAAACCCAGAAAGTAGAGGTTTCTGTGTGTCTTTTATTGAACTTACATATGTCGGCATCCACATTTTTCTAAGGATAAGACGAGACAACGGCGAGATGGCAACGACTTTATCAAACACTGTGACTATATCAACATGCAATCTGAAAAAGACGAGCCTAAAATGTAGTTTAAAAAGTAAAACGTTACTAAAAATTTCTTTATAATCTTCAATTCAAAAAGAGATTTAATAGAGACTGCGCTTTGGTGAAAGGGAAAAAAGGGTCTATTTTGACAGACTAGACGGAAATGTTAAATCTGATCACTTGAAAAAATACTAAAATGTCAACCACATTCATTGACAAAGATAAAGTATTCACAGTTTTATTGACTAAGACAAGAGAACAATTTGATGACTCTTAGTAACTGCAGCTCGACCAATACCAGGATGAAGTTGACTAAATATGATGAAAACTTGTTAACAACAACCAATACAAATATCATGACTGTATATTGACTTTGGTTAGTTCTCTGCGTGTTCACCTTAAAGACTGCAGGGAAAAGGCGAGCGGGTTCCCCCCCACACACAGAAACACTTTCTAAAAGGAGTAACGAGAACACTAATATTATGCAATGAGTTGCAGTGCGAGCCTAGAAGGGGAACAGTTACATAACCGTCATTAGAGTTGCCTCGCTCAAGAGCCTGTTAAAAGATAGATGCTTCCACTTCTACATGCACACTTCCAACAGCCTTTAGGACTGAAGCGATAGCTTTTTGCTCCGCTGACAACTCTCAAACATTTTACTGCCCTTACCTTAAAACCACAGAACTTCAAAGTTGCTGCTTCTTCTTCTTAATTTGTAGTTAACTTAGTCATTTATTTTGTTTGACCCATGACCTCATGTCCTTCAATCTTTTCTTGCAGATGCATGTTTCAACTCCATCAACAGCAATATTTAGGAAGAAACTTTTCCCTTTTCCATTTGAATGTACCCTTTTCAATGATTTATGATGAGGAATTAATTATTCAGGCAATGCAGCAGAAGAACAGAGAATATTGAAATTGTCAGCGTAAACATGCACGAAGCCCTGTGATTCGATTTCAGGACGTCTTAGCTGCTAATGCATCAAAGCCGAGGGAAGTCAGGTCGACACTGGCGGGACACGAGAAGCTTTGAGCTCAGCTATTTCACATAAACTCAAGCAAAGACGATGATGAGCAGGAAGGAAAATCAACAACTGCCGTAAGTTTCTATCAGGGTAGCCTCAAACACACATCTTTTTGGCATGGTAGTGAAAAAGCCCAGATACATTTGTTAACCCAGTTGGCAGCAAAAACCGTGAACAGCAGCGGATAGATCCTGTCATTCACTTGCGCCTCTGTGTTACGGAGCAGGCTTGCCCTCGAGTCAATGCACCTGTGTTACATTATTGATCTGTTTGAGGAAATTCTCATTTCACTTGCCTCCCACAGGAAGAGGTCAGAGGGCAGCTTCAGATATAGAGGGAGAACACTGCAGCAAACAACGGTTTTAATGTTACCTACATATTATCGATCATGGGATATACTAACTGATGAACTTGCACAACATAAAAAAAAAGGCAATTCGAGTAGAAACTAGGCTTATGTGATCTGTCCAAAAACAGTGTCTCACCAGAAGAAGAGTACATGAAACGGCAACAATTCTCTCTTCAGATCTATTTAAGGACTTGAGGAAATGTGTCCTTGAAAAGCTTAAATAGATTTCACAACTGCCAACCATGAGGGATTCCTTCGCAGTCAGGGACAGAAATATGTAACAACATTATAATACCTTAGATATGGAAATTATTTTATATTTACAAATGGAAAAACTTCATTTAAAAAGGTCAATGTGTGTGCGACACTAGCTTTTTTCTCCCTTACATTGAAAGACATATGTCGACTCGGGCTAGCTAACACAGGAATTTGTGCAATTAGCATTAATAACACAAACCGCTCTTGCAGCTAATGACAATAAACTGTAAGTGGTTCCTAAATTACAATAAGGCAGCATTAGTCAATTCCGGACATTTATTTAATGTAGGTAACAGTATAAACTTCAGAAAAACTGTACCTCGGCTTGAAAAGGTTGGAAGACGCTGGTCTAGATCATCATCTAATGGTTACCTGCTCCACAGAGTCCCGACGGCCTTCGTCCCGTGTGCATCCAGTCCCTCTTCATCCTCTGCACCAGCCTCATCGCCGTCATGGACACGTCGTGGTTCTTCTCCCCAAACTCCAGCAGCTGTGCGAAGCGAGGGATGTACAGGCACGGGTCTGATGGAGACAGGAAGGGCTTTCAGTTTTAAACAAGCAGAAAGAAGACATGCCAGGTGTGTGTGATCTTTTTAGTCGTTCCTTCAAAATCTGGTGCGCTTGTTGACTGAGGTACAGCAGCCACGTGGATACTGTGATAAGACCTTTTCTGTTTGTCTGCATCTCATAGTATAGCTAGAAAGATAGGTAATGGACGAGAAGAGGTCATGGTAATTTCATGTTGTTAGTATCAATCAGATTGTTTGGCTCTGTGGGCAAATTCTCTTAAGATGACACTTTAACTGAAACTCTATCCAATAAAGAACCTGCGTGTGAGTCCATGTGACTTCTGTTTACAAGCCCCAGTTGGCGTCTGAGAAGTAAACAAACCAAAAGCAAAAATGGAAACCTTACTAGTCAAGTAATCAAAAAAAGTAATCTTCAGCCCAAAGGAAATGCTTAGTGTCTGCTTTGAATTCATACTGATTTAAACCAACTGGCACCTGTGATCTTCCCAGTATAACCAGTATCCCATTTCTGGCTGCTAATTAGCTCCACTGGAGAAACTTGAGGATTAGCATTTAGCTGAAGTGCACCCCGAAGCAGCCTGTTTCTCATTCAACGTCTGTCCAGATTTTCGCAGCTGGCGAAAGGATTTGAACGGGCAATCTTCCAATAACAAGCCTTTTCCTTCTCGAATGTCTCTGAGAAAGTTGTACAGTGTGTCATATCATAAACTTTATGGAAAATACTACAGCGTATGAAGAAGAAAATTATGAGAACCACCTGCGTTTGCCATGAAACCGGCTTGGCAGGTGGCCCGTTTGACCTCTAAAAAATTATTTTACCATGCTAAGCGAATCAAATGCAATGTGTCAATTAGGAGGAATCGTCTTTCTGCTGCAACCGGGAGACAAAAAAACTAGAGGTTCATGCCCCGGCAATGACAGTGGAGTCAAATATCTTTGAAGTCAGTTGCTGCGTTTGAAGAGCGGTCCAGTGGAAAGCTGGTAGAGCCGGCTGGTAATAAGATCCAGGCCGATCCTTCCTCCCCCATCCGCACCATGTAATGATACGTTTGCAGAGCTCGCCATCACTGTTCCAACTTTTACTGAGTGTCTATAAACGCTGGCCCAAGCAATATCTACATTTAAAAAGAGAGAAGTGGCTGTTTAGGCAGATGAATCCACCCCCAATCCACTTTCATTGTTGAGTATAATCAATCTGTGATGCTGAAACAGCCCAGGAGTCATTCTGTGATGGAGAGCTGTAGTTTACTTTTTTCCATGTCCCCACTTTCCCCTCAACCTGCTTCTACTTCTGTTCCCCACATTACCCAAAATTACTCCGACCACCCCCAGAGAAAGGCTGTGAACTCTCTCCATTCAATCAAATGTGGGAGCAGGGATGCATGAATACCATTAAAGTGTCATCATTCAGCTGTGGGGAAGCTTCGCCCTACCCTGAAGAAAACCCGAAATGAACTTGGAGCTGAGATGCATTCTGGTCTTTTAATTTTTTTCGTACGGTGGGTGAAATAAATTGTTCCCCGAGTTTGCTTTTTCTCTGATGGACTTCTTCCTATAGCTGACAGTTGATCTGACGTTCAACATCAAACAAAGAGAAGCTGCAGAACTCGGAAAGCAACATTTTAGATGACACAATGAGATCAAACACTACAAAAATGGCTAGACATTTTTTAATATGATATTGCATTTCTTTGGTTTGTGATCAACATAAATAGCATAAGTACGGTCATCAGTTCGGACAAGAAAACTTCTTTAATTTAAGTCTTATAACTTTACCGTTTTTCTACTCCCTTTCCTAAGGGCACTTTGTTCAATTACTTTTATTTGTATACATTTATGTTTGTTTATACTTTTTTTATGCTTTACGTACAGTAAAGCACTTTGAATTGCAGTTGTGTTTTAAAAATAAATGTGCATTGCCTTAGTTTTTACATGGTAAAAAGCAGAAATGTATTGATTGTTTCCATACATTTTTCTTGTAGAGATCACAGAATGAAGGGTGGGTTTATGTGTGTTTACCAATATACAGGGGTGGATTGCAGAGATTATATCTTTCTATTGTTTTAATTTTTCTATAATTTTAGAAGATATATTTGCACCCTTTGGCATTTAAAATGTAGATGTCTTTAGATTGTAATTATATTATCAAAATGACGTAAGCTTTACATGGGCATTGTTTTTCAGAGACAGCATTAATAAATTATTTTCCGTTTTTCTTTGTCTAGTGAAAAGTCACATTCTGAGGGTTGGGTAAAGTGTATTGTTATTACTGTGTATTAATAACAAGGTGCAATAGTAGTGTGAGTTGTTTATTCTTATGTAATTTATGTCAGTAGAAATTACTAAGAGGTTTGTGATGTTCTATTTATTACGTCTTTAGCCCATTTTCCTGATTATACTCAAATCATTTTACTTATCTAACATTTCAATGCATGATTCTTGTACCATAATGGACTATTTTTATTTTGTGGAACACTTCCTTCAACATTGACATCCATTTATTTCCTTTAAGTACTTGTCTTATTTCTCCTCATTAATGTTCTGTACTGCAAGGTCATCTTTTTTACATTTTATTTGTATCTTTCCACCGTTTCTAATCAGCGGGACAGAGGCGGAGCGGTTTGATCCCGGTGACGCACTCTGCGGAGCTGCCGGGGGAGGTGCTCCGGCTCTTTTTACGTCACGACCGTGCGTGAATCTGATTGGTTCTCAGCGAGCCCTGGGCGTCCTTGTAGATCACGACGAGAGAGAAAAAAAGCTGAAAAAATAGAGCAGACCTTAAAACCTTCCTACAAATGACTATTTACCTCCGATACGAACGGCCGCAACAAAACATCATAGCTGACTTCGTTTCGCTCGACAGTCGGTGCATATAAAGAGGGGAGAAATAACGGTGAGGATTAACGCAGAGGCGTAAAAAAAAAAAAAGGGACTTGAATACCAGCTCCGGATTACCCACTCGCTGAAAAAGGGAAAACAGGGATGAGGTGACCGCCAGGAAACGGAGGAAAAGTGGTCGAAGTAAAGGACACCAACGGTTCTTCGCGTATATTTCAATGGTTGTCGTGGAAACTTCGCCGTCAATGCAGTTTTAAATCGGCGTTCGGATTAGTCGAATTTCACCCATAATTACATTTTACACCGAGCAAACCCCGCATCAGTTAGTTCATTTCCGAGAGAATTCACGGGATATTTAACACTATCGGTTGGTTGTGTCGATGCCAACGGTAGACTGCAGGTTGCTCCATCATGGCCGGATCATGAGGTGTTTGACTTATCTACTGCTACTTCCAGAAACACTGAAGAAGTCAAAGAAGGTCAGCAAGCTCCCGGGCAGGCTGCCGTTATGTTATGAGATCCTGACACTGTCCCTGACCAGCAAGAAGAAGAAGCAGCAGCAGGAAGAGGAGCAGGAGAAGATGGCTGCGGAGTTGTACCCCGCCGCCAACACCAACCTGTCCTCCAGCGGCACCACGGTGGCGGACACCGAGAAGCTCAAGGAGGTGCCGGTGAGCCAGGCGGGGAGCAGCGCGGCGACCACCCCGACCACCCAGCAAAACATCAACAATAACAACATAGACCCCCCGAGCTGGCCGTGCAGCCACCCCACACTCCGAGAGAGGTAAAATACTACACAAAATAATAATCATCTTTTTGTCAAAATCTCCAGGAGAGCTGGAGGACATTTCCAGTGGTGGCAAAAGTATTCTTTACCATACTGTAATAATACCACACCTTTAAAAATAATAACTTTCAAGTAAAAGTACCAAAACCACACTGAAAATACTCAATTTCAAGTAAAAGTACTACATCTACGTATTTAAGTATGATTGGGAAAATATACTTTAAAAGTAGTAGGAGTAAAAAAGATTCATATACTTATACACACTCAACTTATACACACTCAATACTTGAGTAAATGTACATAGTAACTTTCCACCACTGTCATTTTCACAATTAAGCACAGAATATCTCTTCTCCTGCAGGGATGTGTCAAGGTGATTAAAAAAAGACCATAAAGTTCATTAAAACCTATTGGAAGTAACGACAGGCAACGCTTTGCTAATATGATAGTAAAAGTACAGCACCATGGCTATACTCACTCGTCACACTTGGATAGTGGGGTTTTATTTTGAAAACCATTCCTGCAACATCTATTTTTACATATATTTTTTCCAAATGTGCCTAAAAGCATTGATTACCGTTAGCATTCTGTACTAACCACATACTGTGCAGAGCTATATCAGAAGGTCGATTTACAGAATTACATGTGTCCAATTAGGATAATCAATTAACCTTTTAAGGACCAAAAACAATCTGTTTTGATGTATTTTGTGCAAGTAGTTTCTTTTGGTTTTGGACTGATGGTTGAAGAAAACATTGGCAAACCGAGAAAGCAAATTGTTAGGGAAAGAGATAATTCACTGAGGCTTATTCCTGAAAACTGCAATGCTTACTTTTTTTAGGAATGCCTTGATGTTTAACAATGAGCTGATGGCTGATGTCCACTTCATTGTTGGCCCCTTGGGGGGGTCTGAGAAGGTTCCAGCACACAAGGTATGGAGATTTAACATGTTAACCAAACCATAAATTGTGTGTTTTTCATCTTATATTAATGTTTGATGATAAGAGAAGTTGTGTTTACAGCAGTGCTACTGAAAGGGAGCTACTGCTGCTCCTTTATTGAACTTGAGAGTGATTCTGGTTGCGTGTCTCTGACGCATCTGTCTGCTCCTCCCTCTCCCCCTCCCAGTATGTGCTGGCCGTGGGAAGCTCCGTCTTCTGTGCCATGTTTTACGGCGATCTGGCAGAGGAGGATTCTGAGATCCATATCCCAGATGTGGAACCTGCTGCTTTTCTAATTCTGCTGAAGTAAGCCACTCACCATCCCTCACACAGCCAACCAGAAGGAGAGATGACAAGCTCAGTCAGTGTCACTTCAAAGCATATTATTACTCATCCAAAGCTAAGCAGAGGCGAGTGCCAAAATGCTGGGAGCGCCTGAGAGCAGGGGCAGCAGCACACTGATCTGTAATTGCTGGTTTTTCTAAATACTCTAGGTCCAACTAGAACATTTCCCCCTCTTTTTACTCATCTACAGCCTGGCAATTTTCATTGAAGGGTCTGGTAGTTATAAATATCCTGCCTTTGTTGCTCTTCCAGCAGCATTGGCTAATCCAGCACAATAGATTGTAGCATGTCAGGGCTTTCGTGAAAGACCCAGGATGAGTTTAATCATCACAGAGTCCCGATTATGTTAGTTTTTTCAAAAAGTTGGTTCTATAATGCATCTTATAAGTGATATTAAAATAAAGTTGTCTCTCCAGCAATGCCAGTAAGTTGAAGTTCTTTTCATGCACATGTGATTAAAAGGTTATTTTGCTTCTCCAGGTACATGTACAGCGATGAGATCGACCTGGAAGCAGACACGGTGCTGGCCACCCTGTATGCCGCCAAGAAGTACATAGTTCCTGCACTGGCCAAGGCCTGCGTCACTTTCCTGGAAACGAGCCTGGAGGCCAAGAACGCCTGCGTGCTGCTCTCCCAGAGCCGCCTGTTCGAGGAGCCCGAGCTGACGCAGCGCTGCTGGGAGGTGATTGACGCTCAGGCTGAACTGGCACTCTGTTCGGAGGGCTTCTGCGAGATCGACCTGCAGACGCTTGAGATCATCCTGCGGAGGGAGACGCTCAACACCAAGGAGGTGGTGGTGTTTGAGGCGGTCATGAACTGGGCCACAGCAGAGTGCAAGAGACAAGGTTTGGGGCCCACAACCCGCAACAAAAGAGAAGTCCTGGGCAAGGCTCTGTTCTTAGTGCACATCCCCTCCATGAGCCTGGAGGAGTTTGCTGACGGGGCGGCGCAATGTGATATCCTGACACTGGAGGAGACGCACAATGTGTTCCTGTGGTACACTGCAGCGAAAAAGCCAGATTTGGAATTCCCTCTGACGGAGAGGGAGGGCTTGGCGCCTCAGAGGTGCCACCGCTTCCAGTCCTCGGCCTACCGGAGCAACCAGTGGCGCTACCGCGGCCGCTGCGACAGCATTCAGTTTGCGGTGGACAAGAGGATGTTTATCGCGGGTCTCGGGCTGTACGGATCAAGCGGCGGTAAAGCGGAGTACATCGTCAAAATCGAACTTAAGAGACAAGGGGTGACCCTGGCGCAGAACATGACAAAGTTTGTGTCGGATGGGTCGAGCAGCACGTTCCCCGTGTGGTTCGAGCATCCTGTTCAGGTGGAGCAGGACGCCTTCTACACGGTGAGCGCCGTGCTGGACGGGAACGAACTGAGCTATTTTGGCCAGGAGGGCATGACGGAAGTGCAGTGCGGGAAGGTGACATTTCAATTCCAGTGCTCCTCCGACAGCACCAACGGGACCGGAGTACAGGGAGGACAGATCCCAGAGCTGGTGTTCTATGCGTAAGCTGCTCTGGACTGCAGATGGAACATTAGGTTTATCCTGCCTCCCAGCCTTTAAAGTAATGTAGCATAAAAGACACTTGACTAATGTCACACTAAATGGCCTGGTTAGTTCTCAGAGAGACTATTTTAAAGAGTCAAGGAGCTGTTGTTTTATCTTATTTAATTTAATCTTATTTTTGTATTTAAATACTGGGTTAACGTTATTTGCTCTGATGGCTGTGTTGAAAGGCTGCGGCTGCTGTAGAAACAACATTAAAAGAGTGATGTGTTGTTATGTAATCAAGCTGAGCGCCACGACTGGAACAAGTTGGGACTGCTTCAAATTGTGAAATTGCAAGTCTACACCATGTTGTTACTATAGTCTAAGCAGCAATGTTTCACCAGGAGCAACTTTATGTAGTGTTATGATTCTAAATGCAAAAAAAAGTAGAAATCTTGTCAAACAGAGTTGTTTTGCACTTCAGAGGACGGCCTCAGAAACATTGTGTCTTTTGTAAAATACGATTTAAATGTTAACAGCTTGATGCTGTTAGAGATGACAGATGTGTTCTGTATAAGAATGCTTATACACCTGATGATAAAACATAACGGTTATAATGTGATTGAGGCTTCAGATGTCACATCATTGTGGGTGAGGGGATTCGAGGGACTGCAGCGCCCCCTGGGTACTGCAGTGGGAGCTACACCTGGGTTTTTAACGAGAACATAAAGTTCTTGCAGCAATGGATGGATTAGTCACCAGGAGTCGGGTAAAGTACAGGGGCCAGAGGAGTCATTTGGGCCCCTCAGCAAGAGCATAAGAGATAAGACTTTATTTATCCCGAATGAAATTGTTGTGCAAGAGTAACAAAATACAATAAACACAATAAACCCAGCAGCACAACAGCATCTTTTTAAAGTCACTGTTATAATCATCTGGTTGGGAAGTCAGAGGGCTCAGTCAAAGTAGACATGCTCCTATGGTGTTTTTACCCAGATCCTTTAACATTGAGCAACTGTGGGTCAAATTCAGATTTATTCATTAACGTTTTTTCCAATTTAACCCAAGAGCTGCACATACTACAGTAAACCTACGTAAGCACTTGATATATGTCTATTGATATTTGATGGGGATGAAGCAATTTAACAAAGTGTTATTATAGCCTTATGCTCCTCTTTAACTTTGACACTATTGAAGTAAAGTCACTTGAATATGTTTAGCAGCTTGGTATCACTGCTTACAGACAGTAGAACTTGCTGACTTAACCTACAGAAAACCAACATTAATATTCGTAAAGGATTTCAAATGTGTTTGACCACAGTAGGACTGCCTCCTCTTGGTCAAAGAGTTAACTTAAACTGACTTTTATGATCGCAGTGGATAAAGATTTTGGACGATAGAGCATTTTGTGTGCTTTCTTTCAAACCGATTGAACCATTTAGAACAAACGTATGGGCACATATCTGGTCAACATAATATTTAAAGTGGTGGTTTGAATGGTTCCTGGAGAAAATCAGTTTTACAAGTCTTCTGATTCAGTCACCTAATCGAGAAGTCGATAAAATGGTACGAGTCTTAGTTGAACAGACAGGGAGAGTCCTCGTCAGCAGAGTAGCTGTGCTTACAGCCAACATTATGTAGTTGACAAATTCAATCCCTGGAGTACTTACAAGTTATTTACCAAGCAAATATGCCAAACATTCACAATTTCCAGCTAGTAAAAGTGATTTTCACTGTTTTTAAAGAGATTGTCATTTCAGCATTCTTGGGTATTGGAATTTAGGACGTCATTTTGAAATCTGGGAAACTAGCAATATTTTTTCTGGTGATATTTACACTTCATGATTATTTAAAAATGGGTAGAATAAAAGATAGATTCATTAATAATAATCAGTAGGCCTAGTTAAAGCCATATTTATAACCATTACTTATCTACCTAAAAGCATTTACCAAATTGCGCTTGACTACAGCTGATTTTAAAGAGCTTAACTGCAAGTCTTGCAGTGAATCCAGTAACACATCGTGAAGATAAATAAAGTGTGTACCTATAGCCGGGGCGTTGATGCAGAGCTCTCTTGACAGTGCGAGGAACGTTTTTCCCAAGATGAAGACGTTCACCTGTGAAAAAGAGAAATCTTTTTTTTAATGATAAACAGCAAAGATAAAAACACTGAAAAGCAAAGCGTGTCAAAACCAAACCTTGTGCTGCCAGTTAAGTCGGATTTTCTAACCGGATTTGGACGTTTACATCAATCTGTAAGTGACTCCAGGAGCCATTAGATCCATTCAGAAACACTTATACAATTAGAGCCCGAGCATCGGCCTGACATTAAGACCTCACAAATGTCTGGGTATGATTGACCAGGACTGGTGTGTTTGAGAGAGAAAAACATACCGTTATGATTTGAAATAAGGTTGCTGCGTCATCGCCAGGTTAAGGGTTGTGGTTATATCATGGTTTCATTTCAATATGTGTGATTAAAACCTGAGCTGGGGGGCCATTGGAAGGGATTTTCCTCCCTCGTTGCTCTTTTTATTCAATTCTAATCAAAATATGTTCCACTCAATTCCCCTCTGCACTCTCCCTTCCTGCATTATATTCCTTCAGATTGATTTCCTGTAACTAACTCACATTTCTGACCACATCAGTGTTTGGACTGTATGCACAGATACTTCTTTAAACTGTCACGATCATAAAAGGGCTTCATTTTAACTCAGCAATGTAAGCCACATTTCTGCCAAGGTATGATGTTAAACCAGTAGGGACGTTACAGCCTACAATTGCTTATTCAAATCACATTTTCCAGTACTTTCCAGCATTATATAAGCAATAATTCCTAATGATACACGTTATTAAATGTATGCCACAGAGAAGCAGCAGGACATGGATGGTAGGATTAACTAACAAGCATTTATATATTCATTAAGGTCATTAAAGTTTCCGAGTTGCTGTTAGCTGCAGGTGTTATGGTGACTGAACCTCCACAGAGAGGAGTATTTAACCACCTGATGCACAATCCACTGCTGAAATCACCTCTGGTTAAGAAGTGTGTATCATTGGACAGCCTGCAATTAGGTCTGAGCAATATATCGATAATATATGTTATTAATATATCATTTCTTTGATTCCATGTTTCGAAAGCAACAAAAGTCAACCTAACAATATAGTCACGATATTTAAATTGCAGTATTTGATCATAAAAATCATCAGATAGCCAACCCGTACCTGCATTCGGATACAAACTTTAAAACTAGCATTACCGACTATAGCAAGCAAGAGAAAATATGCGTTATACCTTCTAAAGCAGGTTAAGATACATTGTTAGATTGACATTCGAAAAAAGACAATCTATTCTTCTACCACTGCTGTTGTTGCAAATTCGATTTGTATTAACAATAAGAGGTTGAAGGAGAAAAACAAATAAGAGAGCACATTTTCTAACAAAATACGTTTTGAATTACTCCAACAAAAGCACTCCCAACAAAAGCACTCTAATCCTACCAGCGAGGAAGTGAGATTGTGGTGGAAAGTGCAAAGAAATTGGGGTAAACTCGAAATTTCGTCTCCCTATTCACCCCCTCTCTATCCAGGCCATCCAAAACCCCAATAAGCAGGTGAATGCAGTCAGGTTAAAACACCACTATCTCCACCCAAAGCTCCAGTTCACATCCACCAATATCAAGTGCCACATAATATATAAAAACAGGGAGACCTTGCCCATGGCTCCTACATCGAGTATTAAACTTCAAGATTTAGGAGATAAAACCTTTTTACATTTCATTTAGCTTTTGTCCAAAGAAACTTGCAATAAGCGCAATCAACCATGAAGGCACGAACTAAGAATCTTGCAAGTGTGTTAGCTTCAAACAACATTTCAAATGATCTAGAGAAGGATCAGATGAGTATGTCCCTTGTGCAGTTAAACTAGAAACCTGGTTTGTAGCAGGATGTTGGTGGAGGAGGAGGAGGGCGAGTGTGTCACCAGGGTTATCACTCCAGCACCTCCCCTCACAGATGTTTCATTGTGTTTAACCCACATCACCTCCAGAAGGCTCGGCAGTAAATTCTGTCTCCCCCCCCGACCCCCACAAACTATCTGAAAGGAGCTGATGATGAATAACAAAGCCACAGGGCTGCACATCTATCATTTCCCTCACAAATTATAAGCTCAGAATTAGGTTTCTGGTGCCGAGAGCTGCAGCAGACGGGCGGTGAAAGCTGCAGGACCGGGTCGTGAACTCGGGTTAGATCTCCCTCATTCCTTCAGACCCTCTCTCGAGACCTATGAGGAAGGGGTGAGGAGCAGACAGACGGACTCTCGATCTCAGCCCCCTCTGGAGTCGTGCAGGGACGCAGATGCTCCTCCGCTATTCTGGGAAGTGGATTCCAGCAAGGAATTTATACACAAAGGCAGAAACGGTGGTGGAGAAGAAGGAAGTGGAACAAGTGCCGGCGCTTTCAATAAAAGGGAGGCATGATTACAGCTAAAACACAAATGTTGATTAACACTCATGATGGTTATTCTCAAAGGAGCTCAGGAGCAAAATCAACATCTTTAAAGCAAGCTGCAAAAATCCATAGTTTCATTTTAACTGGGGATTTAATGATGGGTGTAACGTATGGATCGACTTAGCGTGTTTCAGCTCAACTGGCCATATAAAGCAATGTTTTTTTTGGTGTACAAGCCTGAAAATGACACACCAAAAATCTAAACGCTTCCAGTACGGGACTCCTTATGGGCACAGACATGATGATACCAGTCTCTGCTGAAAGAAAGCTCTGAACAAAGTCAGATTTAGTCAAAGTGATACTGAACCAAATGCATACAACCACAAACACCCTGTCTCGAATTATTGCAAAACCAATGTGCAAAAATACATGGATTATAAAAAGGAAAGGAATACTGGATCGGAAACTAATGTGAAATAAGACCTATGAGAACTAAACTGCTTAACCCATTCACCTTTTAATGATTCTTAAAGTTCTACGTGATTTAATGCATTTATTTTCAAATATGAAGCCTACTTGTCCGAAAAGTTTGCCAATATTCCATGCATTTGTATTTAGTACTTACATTTCTATAACTTTAGATATTGTGTGTATCAAACACACGAGTCTAATATCATTCATGCAAAATAATGTTGCTAATCCTGCAAACATTGCTACATTTGACATCTGATTATGAATCTAATGGCAAAGAAAAAACGTTTCCAGTGTGACTGCAAACGGAGCTAAATTGTGTACATTTAATTTAAAATCATCCCTTTGAGCTGCTTGTGGTGAACCTGAGAAGAGTATAATCCCTCGTCTCCAATGCGGCGCTAAGTGAAACTTTCCGGGTCGAGGGGTCAAAACTCAAAGCGCTCGACCATTAAAAACACAGTGCGGTCACTCGATACCTCAGAGCAGAGGCTCAACAGGTGGAGGGGGAAAACTTTCAATTAGACGAGAAGCTCCAGTTCGATCTCTGAGCGTCAACAACTTTCTCCTAAAGACGCAAACTACAGAAACCACTGCTGCTGGAAACAAGTCTGCACATCTTCAGCTGACTGTTACCAGAGGAAAAAAGTCAAATCAACCAGAAAATACAACGCTGATTATTGCCAGATAAAAAGCTGTTTCCTGACTAATTATATTCAAGTGTGGGAGCTGAAATCAGTGTGCTTTTTTCCCCCTCGCAGAAATATAGGACTGGATGTTCACACAACAAGCTTTCTGTGGCAAATGCTGCCAATACACTTCAAATTAAAATGTAATTATAGCAACAAGTGCTCAGTCTAAATTACTCAGTTGGAAAACAATAATCATGCCTAGCAAAAAAAGACTTAATTGAAGTATTTAATGTGGGTTTGTTTGTGTTCAGTGGTTTAAAACGTTAGTAGAGTTTAAATCTAAAATCTGGTTTCAAAGTTGAATTTTTCCAAATCTCTAATTAAATCTTAACTAGAAAGAACAAAATAGAGGCTTTCTTCCAATTGCAGCTACTCTGGATGGTTACGGATGAAAAGGCCTCGTGTAAATGTGAGCAAATATATTGTTTAAAAAGAAAACACTGAAGCTAATTGGTCCAGGCGTCTTCCATGGTGACATACTGAACCCAAACCAGTAAGAAGAGTCTAATTCCAACCCAGTACATGGGAGAAAAGCTCAACATGTGTCCTCTTTGAAACCATTTCTTCCACCTTTCAGAAGCAACACTCAGTGCGAATAATGTTCAAAAAAGGTATTCAATAAATGAGTCCTTTAAAAAATAAAACTGGGCCGCAGGATAGCTCAGTGGTTAGAGCTGGCTTGCCGGACATGTCACCCCTCAATCTCTCCCTTTCAACTCTGCATCTCCAATAAAGAATGAGACAGAGGCCGTTTCTCAATCGCGAGGATGCTTGCTTGGTAGCACATGTCTTCCGAGTCACTTGCTTCAGAAGCTAGGCAAGAATCCTTCCTGGCATTCGGAAAACGAAGAGTGGAACAGGCTAGCAAGTGTGCGTCATATGAGAGGCCCAGCCTTACATTTTCCGCCACAGATTTGGGGAAATTGGTCCGTGCACAAAGCATTGTGGGAATTTTAAGGACGCAAAGTCTACCCATGTGCAGCCTCGAAATTACCCCCAAACCAAGGACGTGCCCTCAGTGGAATTCCAAGTATGCTGGAGATTGGAACAGTCCTTCGGCGGCACTCGATGACGTAGCATCCTTGAAATATTGGCTTGGAAGCCAGTTTCCTCGCGATTGAGAAACGGCCAGAGTTTGCAAGAGCTTCACACTCGAACAGATAAAATACACCCTAAAGATATGTTAGCATCTAGCCGGACACAACATTGTACATAAATGAGGATTGTTCCTATAAAATAAAACCTTACAACCACATCTCAACATGAAAAAAACGTGTTGCATTGCTTCCTATTAATAAGAGAGAATGTGCAATGAACAGTGTGCAGGATCATCTGTGTGTTGCACCTGTTACTCCAAACCCTGCATGTGTGCAGTGGAGAAATGCATCTTATGTGAAACACATTCAGAGCATGTGGTTGGATGAATAAGATCTTGCAGAGCTCATCACATTAGCGCCAGAGAACAGCTGATATTCACCGCCTGCATTGATCCCATATGGTTATCCACGTGATTCACTTTAACGCCTCATTCATCCAAACAATGCAAAGCAGACCCTGGGTGTGGATGTGTTAAAAAAAAAGGAGTGATTGGTGGTATTTCCACCCCGCAGCCGCCTAAATGCTGCACATTAATAACCCCACCCACCCAAAATCCACTCCTAATCCACTCCCAGCCTCCTCATGCCGGGGTGTGGACCACGGGGGAGGGGAGGTGTGTGTGTGGGGGGGGCAGCTCCTGCAGGACAGCTGGGTGCATAAAAATAAAAGCCCCTGACCAGCTGTGACTGAGATATATGTTCCCCCCCCCACCACCAGCCCTATTCTATTCTACTCCTTATCATCTCTTGTGAATTGCTTTCTCATTATATATTTATGCAATTATGAGTGGCTCTAATATGTACGCACAACACAACACCACACCATACACTATCACACACACATTTATATAACACACATACGGGACTCAGTTTTAATTACACGGTGAAAGTCTGAATACAAGATTACTGCAGGACCGAGTGGTTGATGCAGGAGGATGCATGATGGAGTTGTGGTAGCAGTGTGTATTAAGTCGGCTGCTGTAACAGGGTGGCATCAGTAGACATTAAAGAGTTCAAAGTATGAAAAGTATTTTAAGTTTAGAGGTTTCTTACTCTAAATGGCTTTATTAACCATATATTCACAGATTTGTGAATGAATCAATGAAAGTAAATGGTCAATCAACAAAAATTAGTCCCGTTTAAATTCAGAGTTGCAACAACAAGGGATGAATCTAAGAATTAAATAAATCTGCAACTACGTAAACTGTGTATGTTCACTAACTTTAAGCCGGTTTCCGGCACATATTTTATGGTTTAGTTGTGTAAAATTTGCTTCTTCTGGTCTTTGACATTTTTAATCGAATAGAGGTTTTTGGACTTTCTAGTGACAGAAAAGAAGAGCAGGTGTAAAGGCATCCGCCTTCTAGAGAAAGAAAGGGGTGGTTTTTGTCCCATTTTTCTATCTTATTAATTCAAGGAAATAATCTTGCAGATTATTCAACAAAATAAAAGAATTTAATCTTCAAATTTGACTGGAGTTTTGAACGTACCTGCAGGAGATCACTGAGTCCAGCAACATGTCTGAGAGAAAACAGGTTAAGCAAATAAACATTAAGAATCACAGGTAAAAAAACTATTGGATGATTATCATTTCCCAAGTTAGGATAAGTGAACAATCACATACAGTATCAGATGACATAATCAAGTCCATTTTATTTGTTTCTGTGGACCGAGCCTGAATCAGACTAATAGTTACAGGGTGATCTGAAGCCTGCAATCTCACATTTAAAACTTGGACAAAATAACAAGTCTCAAATCTGGAGCGCGTCTGACCTTTGCTCACAACATCCTCTCTCTTTCAGTCTGTCTCTATAAAATAGTGTTTCGTTTATTTTTACTTTCAAAAGTGTATTTTCTGACTCTCCCACCTGCACAGTGGACACCGGCTGTGACGATTGATGAAGTGAGCAAGCTGAGACAGTAAATCTAAGCGAACACTGAACACAAACCTTTGTGACCAGGACCACACAGCTAAATATTAATGACGGACACCCACACCATAAAGGACACCCACACTGTGCAGAGAAACATACACTCGAAGCATACGGACGTGGACACTGGACCACACACGACAAAACACATTGGGACAGACAGTGAACACACAAACTGAGAGTACATCATACTCATGCACCACGCAACAGAGAAACCACCACATGGACACGAGACACACAAACATACAGTCGCACACATTTAAAACAAATGTAGACACGCTGAGAGACACACACAAACACAGATAGAAGAGGACACACACAACCACAGATAGAGTGAGAGACTCTATCGCACAAGAGCAGAGCGACACACCACACAGACCACTTTGCATACGGAAACACCCACTGAGACACACCAACAGAAGCATATACATGGAGAAACATGAATACACACATTATAGACACACACACACACACACACACAAACAGTAAAGTCCACCACACATGAAACGCGAAGAGAACAGCAGACACACAAACACATTTTCACACAGGAATAGCACACAGACATAAATAGAGACATAGACACACAACTGAGACAAACACTCAGAGACACACACACCACACAACACACCCCCCGTCAGCCTCTGGACAGCCCGCCCCCTCTGCCAATGACAGCCCCCCTCTGACCCGTCGCCGGGCGACGCTGCACCTGTCCGGCTGCAGGGCGGATAGCTGCTCATGAATGAAAAAGGGCGCTCATCAATGGAATAGCGGCAGCAGCGTCAGATGAAATTGAAAAAAATCATCCAGCCGCAACGCCGTCTGGAGATACAGGCCACTCCCCTGAAATCAGGAAAAGCAAACAGCAGCAGGTCCTTCAACACATTGGTCCAGCGCAGGAGGGACGCATGTCATAAACAGGTAAGGAAATAGCAAAGAAGCACATCGCCTAACGAACTCGCCTATTTCAATATCCAGAGAAGATGGAGATTTAAAGTGAAGCAGGCGTCCACTTCGAGCTGAAAAGGTTATCTGCCGTTCAAGTGGTGTTCAGTTTATGAACTCACTGCGTTCATGCCTGTTTTATTTATTTGTTTTTATTTTTAAACTGCACTAAGAGACACCTGACACAAAAAACTGGTTGTACTCGAGTATATTGACAATGAACGATGTCTCGCGCGTCTGTATGGAGATGCTAAACATCACAGCATCTTCTTGACAGCCTGTGCAATTATTAGGCCTTTCTCAGTTTTTCATAAATTAGTCGAACAACCTATGTTTTCACCACCGTCCACAAAACTGTTGCAAAATACAGACCTGTACCAAAGTAAATGCTGCGTTCTCATTTATAATAAGCATGCAGTTTTAACCACGCAAAGTTACAGCATGGCATTTTTAAAACATCAG